CCAGCCACCTTGCCAGGCTTTTTTTTTTTTTTTTTTTTTTTTTTTAGATGGAGTCTTGTTCTGTCCCCAGGCTGGAGTACAGTGGCTCGATCTCAGCTCACTGCAAGCTCCGCCTCCTGGGTTCACGCCATTCTCCTGCCTCAGCCTCCCGAGTAGCTAGGACTACAGGCGCCTGCCACCACGCCTGGCTAATTTTTTTTTTGTATTTTTAGTAGAGACGGGGTTTCACCATATTAGCCAGGTCTCAATCTCCTGACCTCGTGATCCGCCTGCCTCAGCCTCCCAAAGTGCTGGGATTACAGGCGTGAGCCACCACGCCCAGCCTTTTTTTTCTTTTTTTAAGGAAAAATTTTTACCTCTTAACAGTACATGTACCTGGAATAAATATCAATCTTAAAAAGACTTAGTATGCTAAAAAGTTTAAAAAAAACACAAAAGGTCACTAGCTGTTCCTTCAGGTCCTGCTCCTCTGGTAACCATAACCAACCACTTTCAGTTCTTTCACTGGTTCAAGTAATCCCTGCTGTTCTTTTATTGTGTGTGTGTGTGTGTGTGTATGTGTGTGTGTGACAGAGTCTCACTGTGTCACCCAGACTGGAGTGCAATGACACGATCTTGGCTCACTGCAACCTCTGCCTCCTAGATTCAAGTGATTCTCCTGCCTCAGCATCTCGAGTAGCTGGGATTACAGGTGTGCACCACCACGCCTGGCTAAATTTTGTATTTTTGGTAGAGACAGATTTTCACCACATTGACCAGGCTGGTCTCAAACTCCTGACGTCAAGTGATCCACCCACCTCTGCCTCCTGTGTTCTCAGCCTAGATTTGCTGAAATCTCTCATCAGACGTTATCTCTCCTTCTGTTTTTTGTTTTTTTTTAATCTTGTGGATTTATGTTTTTTTGTTTTTTATTTTTGAGATGGAGTCTTGCCCTGTCTCGCCCAGGCTGGAGTGAAGTGGCGTGATCTTGGCTCACTGCAGCCTCAGCCTCCCTTGTAGCTGGGACTACAGGCATGCGCCACCACACCTGGCTAATTTTTGTATTTTTGGTAGAGATGTGGTTTCGTCATGTTAGTCAGGCTGGTCTTGAACTCCGGACCTTGTGATCCACCTGTCTCAGCCTCCCACAGTCTTGGGGTTACAGGCGTGAGCCACTGCGCCCGGCCTATTTTGTTCTTATTGAGGTAAAATTCATGTACAATTAAATGAGCTGATTTTAAGTGTACTGTTCAAACCATTTTGACTAATATACATCAAAACACAGAAAATTTCCTCATGCCCCTTTCCAGGGGATCCCTACCATCACCCCATCCCTAAGCAACTACTCATTTGATTTCTATTGCCATCAGTCAGTTTTGCCTGTTCTAGACTTTCCTATGAATGTCACCAGACAGTTTGTACTTTGTATTCAGCTTCTTTCACTCAGCATGTTATTTTTGGAATTTCACTATGTCGTTGCATGCATCAGTAGTTTGTTCCTCTTCATGGCTGAGTAGTATTTCATCAGCTGATGGTAGCTGTTTGTTTATCCAGTCTCCTCTTGATGGATATCTGGGTTGTTTCCAGTTTTGATCTATTGTGAATGAAGTTGCTATGAACAGTCTTGTACAAGGCTTTTTGTCATATAGCTTTGTTTAAAAACAATCCCTTTACTTTTCATTTGGATAGGGTTTGGGAAGTGAAGACATATATGTGTATAACGTATGTGCCACGTCCAACAGGACTACCCTGAGTTGATTCTTTTTTTTTTTTTTTTAAGACGGAGTCTTGCTCTGTCACCCAGGCTGGAGTGCAGTGGCCGGATCTCAGCTCACTACAAGCTCCGCCTCCCGGGTTCACGCCATTCTCCTGCCTCAGCCTCCCGAGTAGCTGGGACTACAGGCGCCCGCCAACTCGCCTGGCTAGTTTTTTTTTTTTTTTTTTTTTTTTGGAGAGATGGGGTTTCACCGTGTTAGCCAGGATGGTCTTGATCTCCTGACCTCGTGATCCGCCCGTCTCGGCCTCCCAAAGTGCTGGGATTACAGGCTTGAGCCACGGCGCACGGCCTCTTTATTTTTTATTTTTGAGATGGAGTCTTGTTCTGTTGCCCAGGCTGCAGTGCAGTGGTGCGATCTCAACTCACTGCAACCTCCACTTGCCAGGTTCAAATGATTCTCCTGCCTCAGCCTCCCCAGTAGCTGGGGACTACAGGTGCATGCCATCATGCCCAGCTAATTTCTGTATTTTTAGTAGAGACGAGACAGGCTTTCACCATGTTGCCTGGGCTGGTCTTGCACTCCTGATCTCAAGTGGTCTGCCCACCTCAGCCTTCCAAAGTGCTGGAATTGGAGGTGTGAGCCACTGCACCCAGCCCCTGAGTTGATTCTTCAAAGAGGTGGCCCAGGTATCCAGCAGGAGTGCAGGGAGGAAAAGAGTTTCAGGCAGAAGGAGGGGAGTGAGCAAAGGCATGGAGGTGGGACCCTGCCAGTTTGCCCAGGGGGCTGCTAGCCCCTCAGTGCTAGGGAAGGTAAGGGGCCAGGGTGACCCTTTTCAAGTGCAGCTCTGGCCACATCACTCCTCTGCTAACAGTGCAGTGAGTTCCCTCACCTACAGAAGGAGCTTCAGTTCCCCTAAGCTCCATCAAGATCTGACTCCCGCTCACCCCTCATCTTCCCGCCTCTCCTGCCCTCTGTGACCAGTCACACTAATGCACCACTCAGAATCACTATTTCCACTCTTCCTGTCCCAATGCCTGCCCTCTACCTTGAATGACCACCCTCCCACTCTCCCGCTTCACCTGGGTAACGCTTTCAGGACTTAGTTCCAGAGTCCCCAGTCCTGGTCTCCACCTGGGATAGGTGTCGGCTCTGGGCTCCCACAGCATCCTCAACATACCCCACCTGCCAGAGCCCAGACAGCAGGCACATGATATTGATGACCATATAGTGGCCAGCGAGGTTGTCAGTCCCCTTCCCAAGTGGTTCTCTTGGCCCCTCTCTGTGTCTAGCACCTGAAGGAGATGTGAAGAGGTGGGGAGGGGAAAATAAACCAGCCTGCAGGGTGCATGTCACCATGCCATCCAAGCCCAGGTCTGAAAACCCAGGTGTGAGCCTTTTCTCTCAGTGTGGCTGGTGACACCTGCAGAGGGAGGGTTCTCCCTGCATCGCCATCCTGGCAGAATTTGTGCCAGCCTTTTTGGCCCTTCTGTTTGAGCAGGCAATTGGTAACACACATCGGGGTCCCCAGGTTGGTACCTGAACCAGCGTCAGCTCTGGCAATACCACCTCTCAGAAGAGTGGCCCTGGCTGGAGCAGAGTCGGGACTGGGGGTCCCTGGACACTTGCTCTGCCCCTAGCTGGTCAGAGTTCCAGAAAACCCACATCTCACAGTCCACCCTTGACCCTGAGCCCTTTTATCTGGTGGGTCTAGAACACAGTTTGGGGGATGACCTCCATCACAATCCCTTTCCCTGCTTCACCCCTGCAGCCTGGTGAATGCCTCCAGGACAGAGGACAAGTGCAGGGGGCCTCCGTTCCTAACTGCCCAGTACCCGTGCCCCTCGCCTGCTGCCAGTACAGACTGCCCACCGTGGGGCTCCTGGGCAGAGGACAAGTGTGGGGGCCTCTGTTCCTGCCTGCCCAGGACCTGTGCCCCTTGCCTGCTGCCAGCACAGACTGCCCACTGTGGCGCTCCTGGCTGCTTTCTGTGGTTCAGGTTTGTTGGGGGAAGCACCTGGGCTGGGTGCTGAGCTCTGGGAGGCACCATATCAGCTGGCTGGGCCTCTGGCAGACCCCAGCTCCAAGTCTGGTCCTGGGGAGCTGCAGGCCCAGATTCCTTGAGGGGTGCGGGTGGGAGGTAGGGGTTTGTCTGTTTGCCCTTTTGTGGGAGGCAGGAGCAGCTGGAGTAGCCCTCAATGACAACAGCAAACACCTGTCATCTGCAGGCGGCCTCAGGAGCCTTCTAGTGTCACCTACAGCTGAATAGAATGAGGCACAGAGAGGCACAGCTCTGAGGATGGTGGCACAGGAGAGGCTGGCACTGCCGGCTGGGGGACCCATGTGGACATCTGCCACCTCTCCACTCACCACATCAGCATCTGTGTCTCCCTGCTGGACTGGGGGCTCCGGGAGGGCAGAGGCAGTGTGCCGTTCTCTGTGGCACCTGGCCAGAGTCAGGTATGGCACACGCTTGGTGCTTAGCAGAGCACGGCAGCATGGATGGGGGGCAGGATACACCCCAATTCTCACAATGACTTACTGGCAGAGCCAGATCCAAAAGTCAGATTTTTCAGCTGGGCAGATAGCGTGGAACTATCAGGAAGGCAGCTCAGGAGGCTGGGCGTGGTGGCTCTTGCTTGTAATCCCAGCACTTTGGGAGGCTGAGACGGGGTGGGAGGGGCGGGGGATCACCTGAGGTCAGGGGTTCGAGATCAGCCTGGCCAACACGATGAAACCCCATCTGTACTAAAAATAAAAAAAGAGCCGCATGTGGTGGTGCATGCCTGTAATCCCAGCTACTTGGGAGGCTGAGGCAGGAGAATCGCTTGAACCCGAGAGGTGGAGGTTGTAGTGAGCTGAGATTGTGCCACTGCACTCCAGCCTGGGCTACAAGGGTGAAGCTCCGAAAAAGAAAAAGAAGGAAGGAAGGAGGGAGGGAGGGAAAGAAAGAGAGGAAGAGAAGAAAGAGAGAAAGAAAGAAAGAAGGAAGGAAGGCGGGGAGGAGAGAGAGAGAGAGAGAGAGGAGCAAAGCAAGGCAACTCAGGCCTGTCCCGCCTGTCCCTCTGCCCTCAGGGGCCCAGGCCTCACCTCCAGCCCAGCCTCCTCCCTGGCCTCATTAAAAAGCCCTTATTGAAGAAGCAAGTGTGAGTTGTATCCCGCCAGTTAATACACGCTGAGATATCTCTGCTCATTCATTCATTCATTTCAGGCAGACAGTAGGACCCTTCCGTGAGTGTGAACGACACAACACGCAAACCCACAGAGCAAGAGCACACTGAGGACTCCCTTCAGGGTCATCTCACTCAATCCCCTGCCTCAGGGCACCTATCCACTCAGGGAATGAGGCCTCCTGGTTTCCAACCGCAGGGGCAGGATCTCAGTCCTAGGGCTGAGGGGAACGGTGGTGGAAACCTGACTCTAGGCTTGCTCCCGGGCAGGGCTTCCCTGTGCCCTCCCGCCCCCAGCCAGCAGCCTGTGTCTTCTCATTTACTGCCCAAGGCACCGCACTCTCCTTATTTGAGGCCCCCAGGCCACTCCTGCCAGGCAGCCCACTCCTCCCAGGCTCCTCTCCAAACACAGTGCAACCTCAGCTGACGCGGGGCCCCAGGGCCGCTCTGCCTCCACTCCCGCCACACTCAGCCGTCCTCTCCGACACCCCTGGCCCCTCCCTACTTCCCAGCTTTCCTTCCATAAGGCCGGTCGCTGTCCTGAGGCCCCCTTCTCCCATCCTTCAAAATCCAGTCCATACGCCTGTGCCTCGGCCTCCCTGAAACGCCCCATAGCTGTGGCTGTTCCCCTAACCCAGGCCACAGCCCTGTGTCTCTCCTGTGGCCTGGATAACCGAGGCCTGCAGCGCACCCCAATTCCCACGTTTCCAAGAAAACCATCTTCTTATTCGGGCTCTCCTCTCTCCTCCTGCTTCCTGCCTCGCTGAGTTCGTGAACAAATGAACGAACCTGCCCTACTCGGGAAAGATTCCGCCTGGCGGGGGCCTGTGAGGGGCCCTTCCTGAGGACAGCGCCACCCGCCGCTTCCGTCCCTCTCCCCACCGCAGCCCGGCACGGAGAAAGCGCTGAGTCACGTTCCGGGCATGCGGCCCCCGGGGAGCCAAGCCTCAGGGGCGCGCCTGGGCCTGTGGGGGCTCCTGGGCCTGCTGGGGCAGCGCCTGGGCCCGCGATGGGGGTCGCCTGCACCCGCTCCGGCTGCCCAGCGCAGCCCCCGCATCATCCCAGGTTGCCTGGAGCCACAGGCTGGGCAGCAGCGGGTGCCAGCGGCTAACGCCACCGCGGCTTGTCAGCCGAAACCCCCTTCCGGACTGGTTCAGAGGAATGGGGAATGGGGGGCGCGAGATGCCCCCAGCAGGCTGTCCCGACCCCTGATTTCCTGCCCAACCCCCAGGTCGGGTTCCCGGGGGGCCTCTGGATGCCCCCTCGTTGTTTGCTTCCCCTCCGTCTCCACGGTCCCTCCCTCTTCAGCGCCCCCTCCTGCCCCCGTTCTGTCCCCACCCATGCCCCCGGCCCCTAGGACTTTCCCTTCCCCTGCACCCTGGATCTTCTTAGAGGTTCCAGCTGCCCGAGCGCGGTGGAGGCCAAGGGTGGAGTGGGGCGCCCCCTCGCGGCCCGGCCCGGGCTCGCCTCACCTCCCCGCCTGCCGAAGCCCTCCCGGAGTACTCCGGGTTCAACCCCTGAGCACGGCGGTAGGAGAGCGCCCCCCTGCGGCACAGCCACGTCCACGAAACCCCTCCTGGGGTTCTGGAAAGCGGAGGCCTCCGGTAATAGGGGCTAAGGCTGGGCCAGGGGGACAGGGACAGGCCCTCCCAGCTCCTCCCCTGCCGAGCCAGGAGGGTTGAGGGAGAGGGGGAGAGGGGTGTGTGTGTGTGTGTGTGTGTGTGTGTGTGTGTGTGTGTGTCGCGCAGATAAGGGGCCATGGCCTAGGACAGCCGGGCAGGGAGTGACAAGTGCCTGATGGGTTGCTCTTCCTTCATTTTACAGGCCAGGAAGTCTTCCTGCGGTGGGGTCTGCAGAACCAGTAGAATCCCTCCTGGGGCCACCACGTTCCTGGCACCATTCTGAGCCTTTGTAATGCTAATCTCCTGTCGTGAGTGCCTCGGGAGGGTTGGGGGGCTGTAATATTGTTGTCCGTGCAGAAGGAAAGACCGAGGTGCAGAGAGATGTCTAGAAGGTGCTAGAAAGTGACTATCCAGCCCTGGTATCACTGCCTGGTGATTTCGTTTCATTCATCTTCACGAATGGCCTCACCGGGTGAGTCCAGGGGCCAGGAGGCTCAAGATGCTGTCAATGACTCGGGACTGTTTGGGGGCAGATAAGAGGAGGTGAGGGGTTCTGCAGGTTCTGGATAAATTGATCAGAACTCAGAACACATTTCTAAGCAGTGATCATTAGCTGCAGAAGCTGATTTTGTTCCTAACATACTCCAACTACAGCTGGAAAGGCCAGGGAAGAACCGGAGTGGGCACCGGCTAACATTTCTTGAGCGCCTACTAGGTACCAGGCCCTTTATATGCGCCATGTCACTTAATTTACCTCAAATCCAAGGGGCCTTTGTGGCGTGTTATTCAGAAGTCACAGGGCTAATCGGGGCAGGGCTGGGATCAGACTGGGCCTGTCTGGCCTCTCACCTGGGTTATTTTTCCTCCACTTGGCGGTTCATAGCACCAGCTGTGATTTGGACAGAAATCAGCTGCCATGTGCAACATTCTCCCATGGGAACGTGTGTCCACAGCACCTATCTCAGGGCCCAAATCCCTCCTGCCCCACAGCCCTCTCCTGGGACCTGCCTTGGATAAGATGAGAAATTGGGATGGGAGGTGTGGGAGCGGGGCAGGGTGTGCAGGTCTCTGGCCAGAGAAGCGTGAAGGGATACAGATTCCTCCCAACACATCTCCTGGCCTAGGTGTTTCTGCTGCCCACAAGTAGGTTGCTGTGATTCTCAGGTCAGAGAGGCTCTCAGTTGCCTCAAAAGCTGCACCCTCGGCTGGGCATGGTGGCTCACACTTGTAATTCCAACACTTTGGGAGGCCAAGTCAGGTAGATCACCTGAGGTCAGAAGTTCGAGATCAATCTGACCAATATGGTGAAAGTCTGTCTCCACTAAAAATACAAAAACAATTGGTCGGGCGTGGTAGCAGGTGCCTATAATCCCAGCTTCTCAGGAGGCTGAGACAGGACAATTGCTTGAACCTGGGAGACAGAGATTACAGTGAGCTGAGATCGTGCCACTGCACTCCAGCCTGGGCGACAGAGTGAGACTCTGTCTCAAAAAAGAAAAAAAAAGCTGCACTCCGACCTCCTTCACTTTGTCTTCCCTGGGATGTGTATGCCATCCCTTTGATCCTCCTTCCGCACCCCTGCTCCTCCTCCTGGAGTTAGCCTTCATGCACTTGTTTATTTGTTCATCATAGATTTACTGGGTACCCTGAACACCCTCTGGGTCGGGCCAAAGCCAGGTGCTGGGGAGGCACCCTTTAGAGGGCCCGCTGAGCCTTCTGGTCACGCCTGGCGATTCCATCAGCCCTGGCCCGGCACCCCTCTTGTTTGTGTCATTCAGGTGTGAAGACCTGTTGCCCGTGCCTGTATTTGATCTGCCCCCAGTGGGGCTCCTGCTGGCTTAGCCTTTCCTCTCTCCAGCTCTGCCTGTGAGGTCCAGGAATCCTTCCGGGCAGAGGACCCTGCTCTGCTGGGCACCTCGCAGGCTCCGCAGGAGGTCTCTGGCTTCCAGCACCTCTTCACCTTGCTCACACTTTGCCTTCACCCTTCAAGCAGGCATGATTCCTCGGTGATGCCCCAGACTCTATAAGGACTTGAATTCAAATCAGTTTGCTGGGGGGCAGGCGCAGTGACTCATGCCTGTAATCCCAGCACTTTGGGAGACTGAGGTGGGCGGATCACAAGGTCAAGAGATTGAGACCATCCCGGCCAAGGTGGCGAAACCCCGTCTCTACTAAAAATACAAAAATACAAAAATTTTTACAAATTACAAAAATTAAAAATACAAAAATTAGCTGGGCATGGTGGCGTGCACCTGTAGTCCCAACTACTCAGGAGGCTGAGGCAGGAGAATTGCTTGAACTCGGGAGGCGGAGTTGCAGTGAGCCGAGATTGCACCACTGCACTCCAGCCTGGGCAACAGAGTGAGACTCCATCTCAAAAAAAGAAAGAAAGAAAGAAAGAAAGTCCGATAAACATAAATCAAATACGAATAAATGAAAGAATTAAAACTCCAGTAGCATAAAATAGCAACAATAAATGAAATTAAACCACATATTTTAATTTTTTTCAAGACAGGGCCTTGCTCTGTCACCTGGGCTGCAGTGCAGTGGTACAATCAATGTTCATTGCAGCCTCAACCTTTCAGGTTCAAGCGATTCTCCCGCCTCAGCCTCCCAAGTAGCTGGGACCACAGGAGCGTGCCACCATGCTCAGCTAATTTTTGTATTTTTTGCAGAGATAGGGTTTTGCCATGTTGCCCTTGCTGATCTCAAACTCCTAAACTCAGGCAGTCCACCCAAATTGGCCTCCCAAAGTGCTGGGATTATAGGCGTGAGTCACCATGCCTGGCCCACATGATAATGAAAACGGGGAAAAAAAAAGAGATTTCCATATAAATGATTAAATAATATTCTTTAATGTACAAAGAATTGGCTGGGTGCAGTGGCTCATGCCCGTAATCCTAACACTTTGGAAGGCCGAAGTGGGTGGATCACTTGAGATCAGGATTTCGAAACCAGCCTGGCCAACATGGTGAAACCCCATCTCTACTAAAATACAAAAAAAAAAAAAAAAAAATTAGCCATTCATGGAGGCAGGTGCTTGCAATCCCAGCTATTCAGGAGGCTGAGGCAGGAGAATCGCCTAAACCTGGGAGGCGGAGGTTGCAGTAAGCCGAGATCGTGCCACTGCACTCCAGCCTGGGTGACAGAGCAAGACTGCCTCAAAAAAAATAAATAAATAAAATAGACTGGGCGCAGTGGCTCACGCCTGTAATCCCAGCACTTTGGGAGGCAAAGGCCGGTGGATCACCTGGTCAGGAGTTCGAGACCAGCTTGGCCAACATGGTGAAACCCCGTCTCTACTAAAAGTACAAACAGTAGCCGGGGGTGGTGGCAGGCACCTGTAATCCCAGCTACTCAGGAGGCTGAGGGAGGAGAAGCTTGAACCCAGGAGGCGGAGGTTGCAGTGAGCCGAGATCAGGCCACTGCACTCCAGCCTGGGCGACAAGAGCAAGACTCCGTCTCAAATAATAATAATAATAAAATTTAAAAATAATATACAAAGAATTCTGAACATTTAGTAAGAAAATATGAACATCATTATATAAAATGGACAAAAGGCTGGGCATGGTGGCTCATGCCTATAATCCCAGCACTTTGGGAGGCTGAGGTGAAAGGATCTTTTGAGCCCAGGAGTTCTATACCAGCCTGGGCAACATGGTGAAACCCCATCTCTATAAAAAATACAGAAATTAGCCAGCCATGGTGGCACATGCCTGTAGTCCCAGATACTTGGGAGGGTGAGGTGGGAGGATGGCTTGAGCCTGGGAGGCGGAGGTTGTAGTGAGCCAAGACTGCACCACTGCACTCCAGTCTGGGCAACAGAGCTAGACCCTATCTCAAAAACAAATAAACAAAAAAGGACAAAGTGCATTAAACAGGCAGTTTAAACCTGAGATGTTATTTTAAAAGATTTTTTTTTTTTTTTTTTTTTTGAGACAGAGTCTCTGTCTGTTGCCCAGGCTGGAGTGCAGTGGCAGGATTTCAGCAACCTGCTGCCTGCCAGGTTCAAGTGATGCTCCGCCTTAGCCTCCCGAGTAGCTGGAACTACAGGCATAGGCCACCATGTCCAGCTAATTTTTGTATTTTTAGTAGAGACAGGGTTTCACCATGCTGGCCAGGCTGGTCTCGAACTCTTGACCTTGTGATCCACCCGCCTTGGCTTCCCAAAGTTCTTGGATTATAGGTGTGAGCCACCGTGCCTGGCCTAAAAATTTTTTTTAATACACATTTTTCATTTTTTTGAGACAGGGCTTTACTCCGTCACCCAAGCTGAAGTGCAGTGGCACAGTCATAGCTCACTGCCGCCTCCAACTCCTGGGCTCAAGCCACCCTCCTGCCTCATTCTCCTGAGTAGCTGGGACTACAGGCACATGCCACCATGCCTGGCTAATTTTTTATTTTTTGTAGAGATGAGGTCTCGCTATGTTACCCAGGCTGGTCTCGAACTCCTGGCCTCAAGTGATCCTCCCACCTTGGCCTCCCAAAACACTGAGATTACAGGTGTGAGTCATTGTGCCCAACAGACATTTTTTAAAGCAGCTTCAGGTTTACAGAAAAAAAATCATGCAGAAAGGACAGAGTTCTCATATATCTCCTCCGGCTCCCCATCTCTCAGTTTCCACTATTGTTAAGATCTAGCAAGGCCAGAAGTGGTGGCTTATGCCTGTAATCCCAGCGCTTTAAGAGGCTGAGGCGAGAGGATTACTTGAGCCCAGGAGTTTGTGACCAGCCTGGGCAATATAGCAAGACCCCATCTCTACAAAACAATTAAAAAATTAGCTGAGTGTGGTGGCACACACTCGAGGTTGCAGTGAGCTACAACTGGGCCACTGAACTGCAGCCTGGGTGACAGAGCTAGACCCTGTCTCTAAATAAATAAAAATTTGAATTAGTGTGGTACATTTACTACAACTGATGGACAAATTGATCGATATATTATTATTAACTAAAGCCCATAGTTTACTTTTTGTCTCTAAAAATCTTTTTTTAATTTTTGTCAGTACGTAGTAGGTATGTATATTTATGGGTTACATGAGATATCTTGATACAGGCGTAATCACATCAGGGTAAATGGAGTATCCATCACCTCAAGCACTTATCCTTGCTTTGTGTTACAAACAATCCAATTATACTCTTTTTTTCTTTCTTTCTTTCTTTCTTTTTTTGAGACAGCATCTCACTCTGTTGCCCAGGCTGGAGTGCAGTGGCACCATCTCAGATGCTCATTGCAACCTCCACCTCCCAGGTTCAAGCAATTCTCCTGCCTCAGCCTCCCGAGTAGCTGGGACTACAGGCGCCCGCCACCATGCCTGGCTAATTTTTGTATTTTTTAGTAGAGACATGGTTTTGCCATGTTGGTCAGGCTGGTCTTGAACTCCTAGCCTCAAGTGATCCGCCTGCCTCAGTCTTTCAATGTTGGGGTTACAGGCATGAGCCACCGCACCCGGCCCAATTATACTCTTTTAGTTATTTTTATTTTATTTTTTGAGATAGAGTCTCGCTCTGTCACCCAGGCTGGAGTGCAGTAATAAGATCTCAGCTCACTGCAACCTCCACCTCCTGGGTTCAAGGAATTCTCCTGCCTTAGCCTCCCGAAGTACCTGGGATTACAGGTGCCCACCACCACGCCTGGCTAATTTTTGTATTTTTAGTAGAGACAGCATTTCACCATGTTGGCCACACTGGTCTTGAACTCCTGACTTCAGGTGATCCACCTGCCTTGGCCTCCCAAAGTGCTGGGATTACAGGCATGAGCCACCGTGCCTGGCCCATAGTTATTTTTGATGTACAATAAATTATTGTTGACTGTAGTCACCCTGTTGTGCTATCAAATACTGGATCTTATTCATTCTAGCTAACTATATTTTTGTGCATGTTAACCATCCCCCCTTCTCCCTCTTTCACCACCATTACTCTTCCCAGCCTCTGCTCTCTATCTCCATGAGTTCAATTATTTTAAGTTTTAGCTCCCACAAATGAGAACATGTGAAGTTTGTCTTTCTGTATCTGGCTTATTTCATGTAACACAATGACCTCCCGCTCCATCCAAGTTATTGCAAATGACAGGGTCTCATATTTTTTTATGGGTGACTAGTACTCCCAGGTGTATATGAACCACATTTTCTTTATCCATTTGTTTGTTGATGGACACTTAGTGTATTAGTCCATTTCATAACACTGTGAAGAAATACCCAAGACTGGGTAATTTATAAAGAAAAAGAGGTTTAATGGACTCACAGTTTCACATGACTGGGGAGGCCTCACAATCATAGAGGAA